CTCAAAGTACCTATGAGTCCATAGTTGACTTTCCCTAGCTGTCTTCAAACACAGTCTGACAATAGAAAAATCTATTCCATAGATTATAGGCAAGTGAGGAGCTGGAGAGATGGCTCAGTGGTTAAGGGCACTTACTGCTCTTCCAGAGGACCAAGTTCTGTTTCTGGCACCCAAGTCAGGTGGCTCACAACTACCTTTAACTCCAGGGAAGTTAACATCCTCTTAGCCTCTGGGGGTACCCACAGATGTGGCATACACACAAACATGCCCATAAGTTAAGTAAAACTAAAAATATAGACAAGTAAGTTACAATTCACAGTTTATGCAAAATGCTGTGATCATTGAGTTATATATTTTAGCAGTATTTATCATTTCCTGTCTTCTTTGGAAAAATAAATGTGAAGTAGTTGTGAAAAGAATTTTCCTTTGTTTCTCTAAAAATAATTTGTTTTTGTTTTTCGTTTGAGTGTTTTGCCTGCATGTTTCAATGTACACCACACATGTGTCCGGTGCCCACATAAACCAGAAGAGGGTGTCATATCCCTTGGAACTAGAGCTAAAGATGGCTATACACCATATGGGTGCTGGGATTTGAAGCTGGGTCATCAGCAAGAGCAGCAAGCACTCTTAATTGCTAAGCTATCTCTCCAGTGCTTACAAGAACTTTATAGTGGCATATTTTAAGAGTGACTAGTTGTCTCAATAATCATGTTGATAAAAGACTCCCCCAATCTTGATAATTCTAACTGTGTTAAGTTGTATTGAGATATCGTATGATTTTTTTTTAAACAGATCTTAAACTCATGTTCTAAACCTCACCTAAGTAAGGTATGATATCTTTTCTATGATAAATACTGTGTCTTGGGGGGGCATCCTTCATGAAATTAATTAGGGAGAATCTTAAATAATCAAATAGTTTAGTGTGCTTGGTAATCACTTACCAAAATCTGAATAAAATTGTGGTTTTTAAAAATACCCTTAGAGCCGGGCGGTGGTGGCACACGCCTTTAATCCCAGCACTCGGGAGGCAGAGGCAGGAGGATCTCTGTGAGTTCGAGGCCAGGCTGGACCGACAGCCTCCAAAACAATACAGAGAAACCCTGTCTCGTAAAACCAAAGGGAAAAAAAACCCTTAGAAATCCCTTGTATTTTTACATTATTAAAAAATAGTATTCGTTTACTAAACATGTACTGGGTATCAAACATAAGCACTATGTCATTGTAGGCACTGGGAACAGGGGTGTTCATGTTTTCTTCCTTGCGGAGAAGCTTATGTTTAGTGGATGAGCAGACAGTAAGCTATAAATATGAGTACACACACACACACACGCACACACACACGCACACGCGCACACACATACACGCACACGCACGCACGCGCACACATTCAGAGAGTGAAGTCCAGCACTGGATTGGGTGGTCTGAGAGGGGCTCCCTGTGGGGTTATGGCTTCTCACTTGTGATTTATATAATGACAAGGGACCAGTCCTGGAAAAGTACAGCTCAGAAGTACCCCTGGCCAAGAGCAAAAATACAAATGACAAAGACCCTGCCTGCGTTCAGAAAAGGCCTGGCAGGATCCAAGAGCAGGAGGCTGTGAGCCTGTAATGAGAAAGGAGGCGCTGAGTAAATGGGGTTTATCCCACAGAGGCAGTCAGGCAGGTCCGTACTGCAGAGCCTTATAGAACCCATAAGGAATCAGGTTTCTAAGTATAAAAGGCAGTGCTTGTGGGGCTTTATGCAGGGAAGTGGCATGATATATGGCTTCTTAGGAGGACCTCGGTTGCCCTGGAGAAAGGGGCTATTTGAAAAGCATGAAGCTAATGTAGCAGGCCAGGTGAGGGTTGGAGGTCGGTCTGCAGTAGAGATGGGGATGTGGGATGCGTGGAGCTGCAACTGGAGTTCGGAACAGATCCAAGGAAGTGCTGGTACAGACAGTGTGGACTGATTTGACGAGGAGTGGGAAGTAACTGCTCTCAGTGCAGCATAAAAATGAGTCGGCGTGGAGACCGCTGTCGTGAACATCCCATTTCCATTTTGTTCTGTATCCTGCATTAAAAGTTACTGTACATAGCCATTGTTATAGTGAAATGAGCGCTTGGCAAAAATACCTCAGGCACACTCACCGTCTCTGCCTCTCAGTGGGCGCGGTGAATGAAAAGAAGTCCACGAAGGAAGGAGATGACAGACGCACCGTCAAGCAGAAGGACAAGCACAGACTAGTTGCTTTGCTAATTGGCACTGTGTAGAGAAGCCTTTTGTAATCTATGCAGAATCACCGAGTATCCCAACCTGCATTTAAAGCAAGTATATCTAGTGTTTCTGCGTCTTGGTTCTCTGAGTTCTTATTATGATAGGACACTTTTTGGAAAGCATTAACTTCCAAAGCAATGTGCACCTCCAAAGATCCCGGAGCCTGCTTTGGTTTTTCCCTTTGGTGGCAGACCCCACCCTCCTTTTTCACTGACTGTTGCAATCGCTCCAGGAGACTCTGAGGTCCAAGTGGCTAGAGTAGCCAGAAAAAGTCTGCAGGCCTCTGGCTGGGCTCCAGTGCTCATGTGGGAGGGAACGGTTTACGGGGGTGCCCCTCCCCCACCTGTACTTCTCACTGCCAGCACAGATTCCTTTGCTGTGCATCAGACTTTTGGATGAGATTTTGTTTCAAAATATGTCTATCCTTTAAAAAAAAGCGTTAAGCATTCTGCCGTATACTATTATATGGATAGTATACTATTCATGCCCACTCAGATACCCCCCACACACACACACACAGTTCTTCAGTGCGTATTGAGCACCTACACACACAGTGCACGGGACCAACTTTCCTAGCAGCAGCTGTAAATCCCATGTACTCATTTCCAACTGCTGCTCCTCCACCAGATTTTATCCAAACTTTTCAGGGGGCTCTGCTCTTTGGAGAGCTCCAGAGTTTGTAGGTCCCACGTTAGACGTGTTCCTGGTTTCTGCTGATGTTCTATAAATCTGAATTTGAATTGGCTCCACTAGCTGTATGCTACTCTCATGTCTATCTGAGGTCCTAACGGAGCTGATGGAGTCCCCGCAATGATGCAGTAGGGGAGGCAAGCGCTGAGCGGAACCGGGCTCCGGCGAGGGCGTGCAAGCCTCAGGTCTTGGGCACCGGATTTCTGCTGCTCTATCTCACACACCTGCCGAACTTACTCCAAAACTCAGGGAATTCTGTCTCTGCTGCCTGATTTCATTCATTACATCATTTCTAAGTTGGGTTCACGTTCTCCCACTTAGGGTCCTCTGTACTTTTCTACAGCCTAGGAGATGTATCCAAGCACAGCTTTAAGTGCCCTGACTGCAGGGATGCTGGTCTACCTCAGAGTACCCAGTCATCTTCCGGAGAGGATACAGCTTAATGTTACAGGCTGACTGGAGCCTCGTCTTTAGCCACCCATGCTAGCTTAGTACATGAGAAAGCATGCTTAAGAAACAATAAAACAAAACCAAAAGGAGGTGGGCTGTGGAGACGGTTCCAGCACCCACGTTGGGTGGCTTACAATGGCCCATAACTCCAGTTCCAGGGGATCCAGTGCCCTCTTCTGGTCTCTATGGGCACTGCACTCACATGCACGCACACACATGTACATTGTATGTACATGTATAAATTAATCAAAATAAATCTTTGTTAAAAAAAAGAAAAAGGAGGTCTTACATAAATATGTTCAGCAAAGAAAATCTACTCTGCTGATTGTTTACACCCTTTTTGTAGAACTCATTTTGTAGTAAAATCATACAGAATTCCTAAGTATTATTCAGGTAGCACTCAGATGTCAGGAGCAGATACATTATCCCTCTGCTCTCCTAGTTCCTTCCTCTTCTGAGGTCACCCCCATCCCAGAAATGTCTAGGAAATTCTGGGAATCCTTGGGAGGCAGCTGGACTATCTCCAAACTGTAAAGATTTCAGAAATGGAGAGAGGTGTTTGTGTTATTGGCTGTTACTTAATGAATCCACATCTCTTACCCTGCAACGCTAGGTTTTCAGTCCCCCGCCCCCCAGCCACCATCTCTTCTAGCAGGCAAATCATACAGTAGGCCATGGTCTCAGCTCCACTATAACCTGCCCTGCCCTCTTCCAGGTGATCATCTGCAGGGCCACCACAGCCTTCTTCATCAGAGTCGCAACTGCCTTGTTCAGTTTTACATTCCCCCCACAGCTCACTGTTCCTCATACAATGAAAACCTTGGGCACTGACTGTGGCTTCATGGTTGTCCCTACAGAGCTGTGTCCCTTCTTCACAACTCCCCAGAAACACCTGCTTGGAGCTCCAATCATCCCCAGTTCATCCCCATCTCCCAGCCACCAGCCACCCTCCTGCCCCCTGACACCAGTCAACCTCAGGTGGTTTATATACCGCTGTCCTATATTCTCCTGAGTTTTCTGTTCAGTCATCTGCTGTGCACACAGACACCCCAGTCACACAACACCATAACCTTGGTCTCTGTGTCTGTCTCCTCCACTTAAATAAAGTTGTTCCAAGGCAGAGACAGTTGCGGAAGGGACGCTTCTCTTTCTATGTGAGCGCAACTCCTCTGGTAGATGCCTCTCACATAAGGACCCTCAACATTTGAATGAATGAATCACCATTACACACCACTAATGCACTTTGTGAAATGTGAACAGCAGTAGCTTCATAAGTCATCTCCATGCTAATAGGAGCAGAAATGCTATTTCAAAGCCTCATTTGTTGTAAGACTTTAGGACTCTCATTATTCGAATGAGATCTCAGGTTTTTAAGGAGATATTTGCTTGTTGAGATTATGGGAGCATCTACTGTGCATGGAAATTTTCCCACCTGAGTGGAATCTGCTGTGATCTCAACAGGCTTCAGTGTTCAAAGCTGATTGACTTTCTAGTGCAAGGGACAGAGGATCGTCCTGAGAGGGTGGGCATGCATGGTGCAGGCTTGGGTGTGACAGATGGTGGGGTGTTTGAATGAACCCACTCACTTGAGAATTGTCTTTCTGCAGGTGATGTGTCACCAATCAGTATGTCCCCCATCAGCCAATCTCAGTTTATTCCACTCGGGGAAATCCTTTGCTTGGCCATCTCGGCAATGAACTCTGCAAGAAAGCCTGTCACCCAAGAAGCACTGATGGAACACCTGACCACCTGTTTCCCAGGTAACGAGGAAGAATGGAACTCTCTCCCTATGCATGCGGGCTGTGGGTGTGGGGCACGGGCTACGGGACTTTAAAGGGACACTAGGGAAAATCAGTCTTTGCCCAGACTGACTAGAGACTTTTCTTCTGTGACTTAAAATAGTAATAATAACAATGTCACTCCTTAAGATAAAGAAAAAAGATACAGTACTTTTATTTTATTCTCATTTATTTTTATTTTTTGATATAATACCTTTTACCTTGATGCTAAGAAGAAAAAAAATTAAGCCAGTATTATAAGAAATTGGTGAAAATGACCAAGACTCTATTCATCAGCCTTCCTTAAATATATAAACCTGGGGTTCATCAGAAACAGCTGTAATGTTTAGTTCCAGGAGTTCTGCTACAGAAATAATGTCTAAAGTAAATATGCCCGCATGTTTGTGTTATAATCCAGTGAGCCTTGATAAAATGTTACTTCATGAATTGAGGCTTCAGTTTTAAAAGGAAAAGATTCTTTTCTCTTGAGTATCACAAGACGAAGGCAGGAGATGTGGCTGCAGGGCAGATGGTCATTGACGGCTCCAGCGGCCGAGGTGTTTGGAGTGGTACATACGAAACATCTTTGCACCATCTCAAGGGAGGTACCTCATTACTCCCCGCCAGCGTAGTGCCCCTGCCAGTGTTGCCGAGTCTGCTGTTACAAGAGAATTTCAAAATGCTGTTTGCTGTGAAATCTCCAAATTCCTTTAGGTACAAGCAATTTTCTATGCGTGTATATTTTAACATGTGTAAATAGATAGAGGCCAGCCTGGTCTACAGAGTGAGTTTTAGGATAGCCAGGGCTGTTACACAGAGAAACTGTCTCAGAAAAACAGAAAATCAGAAAACAAAAGATAGATGAGTAGTGAGCACCTTATAGGACTGCCAGTTTGCTAGCTTGGCAAATACTATGCCCCTTTCTAGACTGAAGTAGAAATCACATTAAAAATAAATGCATGATACACTTGATGTCCATTGAGCCTTCAAAGAGACGTTAGTAATATAAGCTATTGGTTGAATCAGCTTTTGCTACAGGAATACTGGGTGATAAGCAACCAGACAGACGAAGACATGCAACAATAAGCATTTACTTAGGTCCTGTGTCTAAGGGCGCCCAGAAACAGACTGGGCCTTAGAAAGGTGGCCCTGTTCTGCCTATACTGCATGCCTTTGGTTAAAAAAATCCTTTGGTCATATCTTATCACCTAGTATTGCATTGATGAAGCAATCTTGACTTGGCCTGAAGTCAAGGTGTAGAAATTGTGCACACGTGCAAACACACACACACACACACACACACACACACACACACACACACGATAGAAGAACCATTTCCATGAACATCCTTAACATGACCTACCATCCTCTGTCTCCATATGTTTCCTATGGCCTCAAAGAAACTATGCATTTTCTTCCCAATAATTTCTCCCTACTCCACCCCCAATTTTTCTTTTTTTTTCCTCTAACAGTTTCTGTTTGATTATGGTTCTTTTCGTCTTTAGTTTTTTCAAGACAGGGTTTTTCTGTGTAGTCCTGGCTTGTTCTGGAACTCATTCCATAGACCAGAGTGGTCTTGAATTCAGAGATGTGCCTGCATCTGCTTCTGGAGTGCTGGAATTCAAGGAGTGCGCCAACATGCTCTCCCCCTTCATTCTCAGCTTTGGTGTTTTTATGTTTATATGCTACTCAAACACTACTGTCAACCTACGCTTGCAACCTATAAATTATCTTAAATGTTGTAACACTTTATTATCCCTGGACATTCTTCACTATTTGTTCCCCTTTCCTAGGTGCCAGACATAACCTTTTCCACAGGTGGAAAGATACACAGATCCCCAGTAAGAGGGGGCAAAGCTTTCTGCAAACACTACCCTCTGGTATAGGACAGCTCGTCTTCCTGCCGTATACCTAGGCCACTGCTTTAGTCCAGCTGCTTTTAAAGTCTTCATAGTGTTAGCGATATAGCTTCACGAGAAGTTATGCAAGTCTCTCAGATGTGGTTCCATGCCTCCCGTTACTATAAACTAGGAAAGAATGCAGAGCCAGTATGCAGTAGTAAAATGTTCATCACTGCTGAGCAACGAACGGTATCACTGAGCTACAAGACATTGTAGAAAAATGAATCACTGGCACTTAAAATAATAACTGCTTTGCCAGCTTTCATGGCAAAGAAGCACTATGTAAGCTTTTCCATCTATGTAACGCTGATGACTATTGGCCAGACCCAGAAATTTTCAAAAACACTGTGTAGATTTTACTAAGGGCGGGGCTTTACAAAGCATGGCCTGCAGGTCTGACAGCACCTGCATTTGGGAATAAAGTTTTATTGGAACACAGACATTCCTGATGTCTCTGGGTTAGCTTTGGCTCCTTGGATGTAGTGGCAGAGTTGAGGAATTGCTGCATAGGTCACATGACTCACAAAGTCTACAGTGTTTACTAACTGACCCCTCACAGCAAAACATTGGCAACCCCTGTTTAGGACATGGTAATAGTTATTGAAATTCTTCTTTAGTAACAGCAACTTTTTTTTCCTTTAGTTTTGTTTTGTTTTAAATTTGGGTTTTTTTTTTGAGACACAGTCTCACAGTGTATACCACACTGGCCCTGAACTTTCTTTGATTATCCTGCCTCTACAAATGTCCACCATTATGCCAGACCTAATAACTCCAAATATTTAACTGGTATTTTATTTAAAAAAAAGTTTCCTTGCCTTACCTGCCTCTTTTCTTTCTCCTCCTCCTTTTGTTTCTTGCTTTTCATTAGCTTTGTCAGAACAAAACATCACTGAGAATTTAAAGTTGTTTAAATTCTTCTCGAGAAGTCTATTTTCAATAACAGTACTAGAAGTCTGGAGGGTTTTTATTGTAATACCTTTGTTTTAAAGGGAAGACTACTTCTTTTGCAGTTTACTATTTGAAATAGAGGTTTTGAAGTCTAACAGTATTATTAAAATATTTGAATTCTTATATTTGATGTGTGCTTTATAGATAAAAAAGGATAATTTCAAACGTGACCTCTTACTATGTTGGACATCTATATTCCAAAGAGTGAGGTCTTCTAGTAAAATGGTATACTGAAACAAATGATAGTTTGAGTCTTTTTTAAGTTGAACTTTGAAAATCAGCTCAACAAATTCTATGTACGAGTTTCCATTAGAGAATCCAAGCTTTCATTATCCACATTGTACTATTTGGCTGTGACACGTGAAACTGCCAGTTTGTGGGTCAAGTATTGGCAATATTTATATGATTTGATCTTGCCTGTTTCTAAGCTATAACATTCAGATCAGTTCTGTCAATATCACCACCCTTGATATGACAGACACTGACAGATGCAGAATAATCAAGAGATAAAGTGGCCTACAGCCTGCAGAAAGTGTACCTCCCTAAGAATTTCTTGTCTTGATTTCATCTCCAGGTAGGGAAGACCTAAGCAGTCACACAAATACTCTTGAAAGTTAAGTACACCATGGTGCAATGAAACATGTACCCTGCCCCCCTGTACTTATGTTCTAGCAAATACAGATGTTTGGAACTTAGTGATCAACCCGAGGGTGTCTTAGTGTGTACTTACTAGTGTATGGATTAGGGCTCAATGGTTAGAAACTAGGAAAGCCACCTCCATCTGCTGACTTTTGCCAAGGGCAATGTTCTTATCTGACTGTAATCACTGCAGTAGACAGTTTCACCATGCATGGTGGTGGTGGACTCCAAAATTACAAGGTCCAGTCCTTTGCGCACGATTGAGTACTCATGGTTTTTCTCCATCCACTTGGATATTGTTGTTGTCCTTGTTCAGTTGGCATGTAGGCAGCCATGGTGGTGAGGCTTTTATGGGTATAGCTAGAAGTAACTAAAGAATGCCAAGAATGGGAGAAATCATGTCACCCAGGGAAGAGCACCCAAATGTCAACTCTGAAAATGGACATGTGAGTAACATTAGATCATAGTAAGTGTATGCATATATGTGTTCATGTAATAACTATTAATGAAAAGGCATGGTATACAGAAGGGCTTGGAGGGAAGAAAGGAAAAGGAGAAACTATGTAATTACATTTTAGTCTCAAAATTACAAGAAGTTTTCATAAGGAATAGTCAAATTGAGCTACCCTTTTGTAAAATTTATAAAAATTAACTTGAAATTAACTTATATTTTTAAAAATGAGTGCTTAATAAAGTAGTTACACACATCACATGTATGTGTATGTATGTATGAATGTATGTATGTATGTATTATTCTCTGATATTGAAGTAACTATTTTAATCTCACTTCTCTCATGATCTCATTGAAAAAAATCTTTTCCAAAAATGCATGCCACTCAATGAGAAGCGTTCCTTTTCCTGTCCCTTACAAAACAGCCTCATTCACATGACGCTGAAGAAAGGCTTTGCTGCAGTGACGATCTAGCCCTGTCTAACTCCCGTGTCTCTCTTGTTCTCCTGATGTGCTGTTAGGGATGGACCCCTAACCAGGTCTCACACATGCTGGGGAAGAACTCCAGAGCTCAGCTCCATCCCTGTGTTATCGCCTTTTCCTCTCTAGGTGGTCACGTGCATAGGAGTCATCAGAGAAAGCTGGGGTTCGCGCTAAACATAAGAAGCACCTTTGAAGCCTGCTTGCCTGCCATGGGGTGTGACTTCAAATTCGGCAGTGTTAACAGGACTCTGAAAGTCAGGGATCCGTAGCCCGCCCCTTCTCCTCTCTCATACACATCTCTGTGTTTTGCTCGCAGGTGTTCCAACCCCAAGCCAAGAAATTCTGAGGCATACCCTAAACACACTGGTGCGGGAGAGGAAAATCTACCCGACTCCAGATGGCTACTTCATCGTGACCCCACAGACTTACTTCATCACTCCCTCCCTCATAAGAACTAACAGTAAGTGGTACCACTTGGATGAGAGGGTACCTGACAGGTCTCAGTGTACCTCTCCACAACCCGGAACCATAACGCCCTCCGCCTCAGGCTGTGTCAGGGAAAGGACACTACCCAGAAAGCACTGCGACTCCTGCCACTGCTGCCGAGAAGACGTGCACAGCATGCATGCCTCCACCCTGCAGAGGAAGCCTGCCAAGGACTGCAAAGACCCTTACTGCCCTCCTCCGCTGTGCCAGGTGCCGCCCGCTGAAAAGAGCAAGAGCACCATCAATTTCTCCTACAAGACCGAAACTCTCTCAAAGCCTAAAGATGGTGAGAAGCAGTCCAAAAAGTTCGGCCTCAAGTTATTCCGGCTGAGCTTTAAGAAAGACAAGACCAAACAGCTGGCCAATTTTTCTGCCCAGTTTCCCCCCGAGGAGTGGCCCCTGCGAGACGAGGACACGCCGACGACCATCCCCCGGGAAGTGGAGATGGAGATCATACGGCGCATCAACCCGGACTTGACGGTGGAGAACGTCATGAGGCACACGGCGCTGATGAAAAAGCTGGAGGAGGAAAAAGCTCACCGGAGCAAAGCCGGGTCCTCCGCCCACCACAGCGGGAGGAGTAAAAAGAGCCGGACTCACCGAAAGTCCCACGGGAAGTCTCGGTCCCACAGCAAGACTCGAGCGTCCAAAGGAGATCCCTCGGACGGCTCCCATCTGGATATCCCAGGGGAGAGGGAGTATGAATTCTGCGACCCTCTAACCAGGGCCCCCAGGGAGGGCTGCTTCATCATCGAACACAAAGGAGACAACTTCATCATGCACAGCAACACGAACGTGATCGAGTCCCATTTCCCCATGACGCCAGAGTGGGATGTGTCTGGTGAACTGGCCAAAAGGAGAACGGAGATGCCCTTTCCCGAACCTTCCCGGGGAAGCTCCCACTCCAAAGTGCACCGAAGCCACAGCCATACCCAGGACCGGAGGTCCAGGAATGAGAGATCCAACAAGGCCAAGGAGAGGTCCAGGTCGATGGATAACTCCAAAGGCCCCCTGGGCGCTTCTTCTCTCGGGACTCCGGAAGACCTGGCTGAAGGCTGCAGCCAAGATGACCAGACCCCCAGCCAGTCTTACATTGACGACAGTACTCTAAGGCCTGCACAGACTATCGGTCATCAAAGGGCTCACATTTCCCCTGCCAGCTATAAGGAGGTGTGCATTCCAGAAATGGTTGGTGGCAGCAAGGAACCTTCTAGTGCTTGTAGCCTCTTGGAGCCTGGCAAACCCCCTGAGAGTATGCCATCCTATGGGGAACTCAGCCCCTGCCCAGCAAAGACGGCGGTGGATGACTATTTTCAGTGCAACACCTCTAGTGAGACTGTGCTCACCGCACCGTCACCTTTGGGGAAGAATAAAGAGGACCATGACACGTTGACCCTGGTGGAAGGGGTGAAAAAGCTGTCTCCCTCTGAGAGGCAGACCCCTCATTCTTCCAGAGAACCTGTTGGGCACAAGGAAGAGTCACCCAAAGGGCCAGGTGGGGGCCCTGCTGCCTCTGCTGGTGTGTCAGAGGGAATGGCCAATGGCCGCCTTGTCCAACATCATAGCGCAGAGCCCGGCAGCCTGGACAAAAGGAAAGAAATATTCAGCAAGGACACACTGTTCAAACCTCTACACAGCACCTTGTCTGTAAACAGCTATCACAAGTCCAGCCTGTCCCTCCTCAAACCTCACCCCAAGTCACCTGTTGACACGCTGCCAGGCCGATGTGAAAAACTGGAGCCTTCCCTTGGGACATCGGTGGCCCAAGCCGTGCCTCCGAGCCAGCGTCAGCAGGAGTCCGGGGGGAACCAGGAGGCCTCTTTTGACTATTACAATGTCTCCGATGATGATGACTCTGAGGAAGGGGCCAACAAAAACACAGAGGAGGAGAAAAATCGAGATGACGTGGGGACCATGCAGTGGCTCCTCGAGAGGGAGAAGGAGAGAGACTTGCAGAGGAAGTTTGAGAAGAACCTGACCCTCCTCACCCCAAAAGAAACCGACAGCAGCAGCAACCAGAGAGCCACCCATTCAGCCCGCCTGGACAGCATGGACAGCAGCAGCATCACGGTGGACAGTGGATTCAACTCCCCACGGTAGGGAGAGATGTCCCTCTGTAGATGCACATACCTGCCAGGGCCTGGGGCTTTATGCAGATAACCAACTTCAGTCTCAGACTGTGAATGAGGGCCGTGAGTTGTGTGACTTGTGTTGTTAACAGCCTGTTTCTAACTTCTTTTTCAGGAATTGAAAAAAAAATGTTTCTGCAGCTGTAGAGATCACCAATCTGGACTGGTGGGTTGGTCCCTGCCCTAAAGCTTGCATCAGTCTAACCTGACTAAGACCAGCACCCTCAGTGATTGCTTCTATTTGTATTTCCAACCAGGAGCACAGTGAACACAGTTAGTGGGGGGGAAGGGG